TATATAAAAATATATAAAAGGTCTTGCTGCTAGTGCACAAGAACAGTGGCATCAGTTGCACCTACAGAAAGACCCCCATGAACATCAACTCTGGCAGCATTGGCGATGCCACGTCTTCTCCACTCTCTGCCCACACCGAGCACCTGCGCATCTCCCTCTTCGATCTGTCTCTCCCGCCCGCGTACGCGCTTCATCGCTTCGAGTGCCATTTGCAGCGTGGAGAGGTCTACGTCTTTGGCCATCCGTGCTGCTTGGCCCAAACGCTCCTTGCACCGCTTTCCCCGCCGGGGCGGATCGCCAGTGGTTGAGTTGACGACACGTTGACCCGGACTGGACACGCTGAAGAGCTGGTCGTTAGGTAGAAAATACGGATGATCTGTTGGCACGATGGCCAAATGATTGGTCCAACTTCCACATCATCTTCGTACCCATCCTTCCATCGCTTCTAACATGAATCTAATATCATGATATTCCACCTTCAGCTCCTTCCTTCTGCCTTCACGCTCCGTCACTCGCCGCCGCCGAGTTCCCGCGGCGCCGTCTACGACGCGGCCGCGGACAGGTGCGGCGCCTGGGCGAGGTTCAGGAGGCCCAGCGACTCCAAGGCCAAGGCGCTCAGCATGCCGCAGCGCAGCGACTCGCTGGTGGCGCACGTGCGCAGAGCTCGCTCGCATGAGATCTCGGTGCGGGCCGTGTTGGAAAGCAACTGAGCGACTGAGCAAGAAAAGCGGAGAAAGGCGAAGTAAAACGAAGCAATGAGGTGTTTGTGTTTAAATATGTGTGGATAGATGTGGAAGTAGGTTGGTTGCCTGGTCACAGCTCACATGCTCAAAAGCTGATGAGATGCAAAACACTGTACATCGTTGGCTGGATGGTGGTTGAAACCTTCCAACAAATATGAGTCAACTTATGGTTGGAAAGTACAAGTGAATAAAAAATACCAACCAGTTATTGTAGATGTGGAAGTGCTCGACCTTCTCAGTACCTGCCAATGAGAAAAACACCCACGCATTGGGCCCCTCTGTTGATCGCAAACCTCTTTCAAGAGCTTCCTTTCTAATTATAAATAATTAAATTAATTATATATATATATAGGGAAATGCCCTTTTTTGCTAGGGTATGTTCAGCAAAACTGAATGCAATGTGAGGTCTTCTCCTCCCCCTTTAGAACTTAATTCATGGAATTGAACAGCATCTCCGGGTGGAAATCTCCATTCCACCAACATTTCTAGCGATTGCTGAGCCAAAACTATCTGTCGCTCGCGTTCCATGGCCCCAGATTTTGTTCCATCTCCCCGGCTTGAAGGGGAAGGATATGGATCTCTTCGGGGCTCTGAAGCGCTTCCACCGAACCATTTCGTCCTCGCTGGAGTCTCGCTGGAGCCGTCTGTATTAAGTGCCCTGGCCAGCGCATCAAAGGGCTTCCCCTCCTCCAGTGCCTTCATGGCCAGTGCTGCACAGCCCTCACTGTCAGGCCTCCGAACTGGGCGGCGAAGCGCCTTCCAAAAGGCGCTTCTGGGAGTCCGATTTGGCAAAGGTCGGTGGTGGAACACATGGGTGTGAATCCAGTGACATCTTGTTTTGGTGATGGAGTGCTATGGATTGGGGATGCATCAAAGCGCATAAAAGGTGCCTAGTTGCCGGATGGGGGTTGTGGGTGCACGCAAATTGAATATGGAACAGACTTCGTTACTACACTAAGATGAGGTCGTATTGTATGATTCGGGGATGTGCCCTTCTCCATGCACATCCTGACCGTACAACGCCGTACAACCTGAGCCCACCCTGCCCATGCACAGCTTGTTGCAGCGCAGTCGTGCCAACCGAGAAGCGCAGGCTTCGGCAAGCTCAGCTGCTTGGACTCGCTCCATCGCCGCTCCTGGCTGCATCGGAAAGCTATTCCCTTCTGTGCATCCCAAACGGTCGATGGAACTGCCGATTGGGCCATTCAAAAAGAGCTCCAAGAACATCTACGGCCGGAAAAGGGACAAAGCCACAAGGAAACTACACCCTGGGCTTCATTGACTACCAATTAAATAGCCTTTGTGGAAAGCATGCTTGTTGCAAAACAACAACTATTTTCTTGCTTGCCATTCCTTGCCTCCGACCCAGCGTAGACGAACCGTAGAAGGTGGATTTTTGGCGTAGTGCGTCTGTCTTTTGCGCTGGAAGAGGCATTCTTTGCCATACAACCTTGCCTCAAAAAGCCATATCAACAACACGAATTTCCCACGACCACCGGTCGGACGAGTGGAAATGGATTTCACACGTCGACTACCGCTGTTCCGAAAAAAAACACTCTTGCAACAGCGCACGCTAGAAGAAACAGCATTGAGCATATGCATCTCGAGAGAAAGAGGAATTGAACAGGGAGGAAGTTCTCTCTTCAGCTACTGATCTTGCAAAACACAGCCGAACTCAAGGCCCACGCAACACAGATTTGGGTACGAGGTTTGAAAATAATACAAGGACTTTGAAGAATTCCGAGGCCTTCGCTGAATCCCAACGGTTTGCGAGACCAAAAAGCAATAACATAGCATCACACCTAACATGGCTGTGGGTGAAAACCAGGAGACCTTAATTGACCAGGGGCCTGCACCAGGGGAAGTCATGCAGCCCAAGCCATTATGGCAGCTACAAGTCAACACCCCCAACAGCAGCACATACCGCTGCAGGCACTTGCTCTACGTTCACATCAAAAGTTTCTTGACGCTGTTGGAGCCGCTGTGTGCAACCTCAAGCCCCCCAAGCACTGGGACAAGGAACCACAACAGGAAACAATGACACAAACATGTCCTGATGCAAAAGAACACTGAAGGAGGCCTGGGTTTGACGTGGCAAAGCAAACAGGAAGCGGGGCAGTTAATGAGAAGAGAAAAAGATCTTACCATCTTACCAAATAGACCATGGTCTCGGAGGCTTCTGATAGAAGCCAGGCTCAGCGTGCAGTCTTCAGGTGTGGCAGTGGTCCAAAACCTACGAGTCCGAGATGATGTTGGCAAGTAGGGTTCCGACAAACATAGTCGGAAAGTAATGAAAAGAACCAATTTGCCAAGTAAACCCTCACCTTTCAAGTGAGAAGAACGCGCAGGAACCAACGGCCCAAGCACGGCCCCGAAATAGAGGAACCAACCATTTCAACCAACGCGTGTTGCCCCAAAGTTCCAGAACACATGCCACAAGTGAAGTCCCGCCACCCCAAAACGCCGCAGCTGATCTGCTCGCCTCCGCCGCCGTCCTCCGTAGCGCGGTCCGCTCGGGCCACCTGGGGACCGAGGGAGGCCGTCGGCGCCGTGGTGAAAACGGGTCGTTGGTGAAAACGTGTCTTTTGGGGATGGTTTCACTTCGGAATCAGGGGTTACGTGGGTGGCATGGCCCTGTAACTAGGTAGGGACGATTCCAGGATGATCCTTTTTGGAACAGGTGGCGAACTCCACTTCCATGATTGATTCTGGGGATTTTTGGGCATTGGACTGGTGGAGTTGTGATGGACTAGTGAAGTGATGATTCGATGGTTCGAAGCATTGCGATTCTGGTGGTCTGATGGTGCACTCAATAGGATTGGAAATAGGATTAGATGCACGTAGTGGCCCCTCTGAGAGATTATGCCAAAAAACATGTCCTCCAAAAAAATGTACTGGAAATGGTTTCAATCTATAGCTAAATTCATTCTATGATTATTTGTAATAATGCCAATTTTTCCTGGGGCTGCCAAAATTTAGAGCCCAATGCATGAAATTTGTTGCAATCCTGGTGGGCCAATCGATTTCCGCAGCTCTTCTCCCAATCCCGTAGAAAAACCTGATTCTCGCCGTCTTTTGGATTAGTATTTTGATGATTTCCGCTCGGAACCCATGGGCAATTATATGACACCCTTTTGCCCACGCAGTGTCACCCTCGGGTGTTCAATGGTGCTGCCTTTGGGAGTTCTAACCTGGTTCTGTCGTGCTGGTTCTATCGCACCTGTTGCCTGAAGTATCGAATCGAGACATGCTGATAGTCCACAAATAGGCCTCCTCCCCAAGTATCCCACGCCTCTCATGACGCCCACTATCAGCTGTGGTGTTGGCAGTGCCCACGCCATGCGTGACACGGGTGGCCATCAAATGTCTAGGCAAGGAACATCCATGAAATTCCATGAAACACTCTGTATAACCATGTGTAAACCTGCCATTTGGACTGCAAAGTGGGGGCTGTCATATTTCTGGGGCAGGCTCATGGACAGAATACATTGCTGAGCAGCTTTGATGCTCTCCAGTTTCTTCCAGCACATCTTTAATTCGCATTGTCTATGATGCTTTTCCAGCAATCTGGATTCCGCTCCATGCTGAAAGGTTTGGCTCGAGCCTGGCTCTGGGACATTCAAATGCACATACAGTATAACCCGCATATGGATCCGCATACCTTCTGAGAAGGTGATTGGAGACTATTTATGTAGGCTTGGAGGGCCCAAATACCTTCTGAGAAGGTATGTGGATCCATAGTCAATATGCCACATTTGCTTTGGCATCCAACCTGGACGGGTGTGACTTCTGTGGAATGCCAGCCTTATGCGCTGCTCCAAAGGCCCCCTAGAAGTTCCTGCCAGTTGCCTCCATCTTCGGTTGTCACTGGCACATCTGAAAAGTCTTAAACAAACGATCTACATTAAACCGATCTGGCTGATTCTGGCTGTCTGTAAGTGCAAGGGCACTTGTTGTTGCATGAAACCAGGGAGATGAAGATCGTCGGGTTCAATCCCTTCTCAACGGGCGCAGCATCATGTGAGGCTGGCTCGTGGAAAGCAGGAATTTCCTCTCCCAGGCAATCACGATTCTTCCAGATTCACCTTATATCTAGAATCCATGTGCAGAACATAATCAAACAAACACATTCAAAACAAGCATCTGCTGGGATATGTTGGGACGTTGCAGGCGGGCTTTTGGAGGGTTTCTGGGAGAGCCCCAAGCCCATGCGCCCATGCAGCCAACCTCCAAGCCTCCACGTCTGGGCGTCCGGGCTTCCCTTTTTGAAAACTGGAGCGCGTCTTGTGGATGAACTGCAGCAGCTCTTCCACCACCACACCTTGGGCCATTGGGGCGCGTGCGTGGAGCGGCCGGTGGAGCGGGCACGGACAATTCGGGGAATCGAACACGGTGAACGCGAGCGAATCGCTGGCTCGCCCTTTATCGCGGGGGGGCTTAGTGAACGCAGTGAGCAGATTGATCAAAGCAAGCGGCAAGTGGCAAGTGTTGCCAATTAAACTACCAAGAAAATAGATGTACTCTTGATTTGAAAATCATCTTCAATTGGAGTGCTGCATATATTGATCAAGAGTCTACATTAGATGGAATCTGAAGAGATGTATAATTCCTACAGAGTTTGCCTGGCCTTGTAGCCCATCCAATATGTCCCGTACAGGGTCCCAGGTCTCTCGGTCTCTCAACCCCTCTGCGAATTTGGAGTCATCGTCCGTGTTGAAAGAACTCTTGCAGGCGCCAAATGTGCTTCAGAGCAGAAAACCTGGAACCCAAACGCTCCACACGCGCAGCTGAGCAGAGACTTGTTTTAAGAGGTGGTGGTGTTAACATCCGTGTCATATCAAAAATAGCTCAGCTCAGCTGAAATTTCATGGTGGGTCTGCGTGGTCAAAACCGTGCCCTTTCAGCAGCTCAGACCCTCTCAAGCCTCACTCGCCGAAACCATGCCACCAGAACCTCAAGGGTACCCTAAAATGGGCCGTGCGCATGTTCTCAGGTCTTTGTTCGACTCCTGTCTCGTTGGTCAAGCTGCCATCGCCATCTGTGTCCATGGTCCGGTAGAAGGACTTCATCTCCTCGGACGCTGGCGTCGGACCGGAGCCGGAGCAGTGTCAATGACCCACTGCCAAGTGTTCCAAAGAGTCCGGGACAGTACAAGTCTTCTTTCGAAGTGCCTGTAGAAAGCGGGAAACATCAATTGTGAGAGGTCTCTGCGGAATTTATAACGATTGAATTAATTATACCGTCAATTTATATTTATGCTGTATATATGATCAAAATTTCTGGAAGAAAATATCCTTCAACAGAACACACTGGGACAAATAGAGGGTCGGTGCTGCCAGGTACGCCAGGTACCGCATACCTGTTGTTTGCACACTTCGGAGGAACTGTACAACTAACAGGTATGCAGCACCAACCAACCAAACAAAAGCAAAGGGCCCATCTATGCTTCAGAATTTTTCCACAACTGCATCCCGGCTAAGATCAACCGCCAATCGAATCATCCTGCTGGTCTTACACACAAAACGTGTTTATTCTACAGCAATCAAGTTGAGCCTTCAAGATCTTCAAGACAGAGAGATGAGCACATGAAAATCCACCAGCGGACCACTCATTAATCTTATGCACCACCAGTTGGGCCCTGTTGAGCTCGTTGGTTGGGTCGGCCGTGGAATATGATCGGTTCGAGCGATTCTGTGTCGTGCGCCCCCCCGCGTCAAACGCCCGGACGAGGAGCTGATTCGAAGACGTCCCATTTTGAGAGCTTCCTGAGGCATCGAAAACGGGCGAGTCCCACTCAAAGCAGGAAGAACCCTTTTTCTTAAAGCTAAGGTCAAACAGGGGAAGTGCTGAAATTACTTACTGTAGTATACGTCCTAGTAGCAACTTCAGTATGCAGCCTGCGCCTTTGCCCAGGTCCAGAAGCACCCGACCATTGGAACATTGGAGGGCCCTGCCTTTTGAAGGAAACCACCTGAAAAGGATAGTTCCACATTCAATATCATTCAGACATAATTGAATGTTGCCATCAATTATCCTCCTCATCCACCACAACTTCGACGTCAAAGCTGTGAGACTATGTGGCAGAACCGATGACCGCTCTTTCTTTTGCTTGGGCGCAACCGGTGCTTCCGGAAGCTTTGTTTTCATCCACCGTGGGACAGAACAGACCGCTCCAAATGGCCAAGGCGCAGATCGGAGCGCACGAAACTCAACAGCTCATGGATCGAGATCTTTCCTTGGATCGCATGCGGTGACAGTCGCAGTCGCCAACCCACACTGAAGTCCGGGGACCCGAAAATGATGAAGTATAAACATGGGAGGACATAGTGTGGGACCAAAACTAACTATATAACCAAGTGATATCAAGTGTAACTTAGCTGATGCACCTGCCGAAGCTTTACAGGCTCCCCCATACCAACCCACACTTCAGCCCTTAAAAGTAGGACTGGCACCAAAACCCTTGCATCTTCGTCTATGACAAGGAGGACGGTGCTTTTTTTTAGGCCTTGAACCTCCTGTTTGTTTGAAGCACTTTGGTTTGGGTTCCAATGCATGTTTTTTGCCCCGTCACGTGGGGGTGGGCCATCGCTTTTGCCGCCGTGGGGCCATCGCTGCCGCGGTCGATCTTTTCAAAGAGCTTCTGCACTGCCTCGGTGAGGTCCGAGCGGCCCGGGGCCTTTGGGGCCCTTGGATGGGGCGAGCCGATTGCAGAGGGGCGAGCCCTTGGTGATGGCAGAAACTAAGTGTTGATGCATGCTTCAGGGAAAACATGCAATTCATATTGAGGGGCGAGCCTGGTCGCCACTTGAAGTCGTGAAGCAAAGACTCTTATGATGCGCAAGACTGTTTTCTGTGCGCCCACCAAATCAGGTAAATCTCCTTCGAGGCTATAGTCCAAGACATTGAAGAAACGTCCGGACTCGCAGGGCCCATCTGATTGAGAGTGCCGATGCTGCCGATGCTGGCGCAAACCCAAAAACAGGAGAGGGCGTTTTTCGGGTGATTTGTGGCAGCGTGACGACCCGACCACACACAGACAGACCAAGTAGGCACCCACTCCACTTCTGCGCAGCCGGAGGACCGACGTGGAAGCCGAAGGACTAACGTGGACAGAGATGCATAAAAAGCTTTACTCTACTATAAGCATCGCCAGCATCCTCAAAGGTCTAAGATTGCTCATGCGCCACCAAGCCCTTGGTCCACCAAATCGACGCCCATCCACACCTATCAAAAACCTTATGGTTTCACAAGGTGGCCCTCATCTTGGCAAATGTTTTGGAGTCTTTGGCCTCTGCCGACCTCTGCCCACGCACGAACCAAGGTGCGGCTTGATCAGTCCTCAGGCATGCAGGGCGAAACGGCCCCAAGAAAACAGGGCTTCGAAAGAGGTGGCTGCTTTCTTCCCAAATGAGCACCCGTCTTTCTGGTCCATCCGTCTTGTTCCCAAAGCCTTCGTGCGTTCGAGGGCCACTTGCTTGTCACGATTGGAAATGCCAAGTCTAAGCGATCGAAAGCCTCATTCCGAATTCCACACTTGGAGGTTCAAGGGGTACCACAGGCCACAAAACAACCTAATCACATGTGGAGCACTTCTGAAATCCAAGTGCTGAACCGTTGACAAGCATGAGGGAAGCAGTTAAGCCAGTACTGTAATAGTTGTAATAGTCAATATAGTGATGTATAGAGCGGGCACAATATCAGACAAGGAAAAGAAGCGAAGTCCAAAGGAACCGGTTCCTTTTCATGAGACTGGAGGGCCTCCAAAGGTTCCACAATTGGGATTTGTAGCTATTTTTTATGCCTGTGTTCTCAGTTGCTGGTCCAGATCTGTTCCCAGCCAACTTAGCCATTCAAACATTTTTCCGAAGCATTGAATCAAATATAATCAATTGAATCAGCGCACTCGAGGTGCATGTTGGGCGTTCACCAACACACAACTTCTGATCATGATGCCTCAAAACATAGCTGAACATGGCCCCTAAATTCAAAGATTATCTGCATTGAATCCGGCTAACTTTGTGTTCTCCTTGCAGGTCTCAGACTTGGGAGCTTTCTGCCACCAGTTCCAGCTCCCGATACCTCCCGTGATCGGAGCTGCTGGAACTTGTTGAACGCCATCCTCAGGTTGCCTCAGCACGACGATTTTTCCACCTCTCCAGATCTTTTCCTCACATCTTTTGATATGTTTTGAAGCTTTTGGTGCTTTTATTTCGGGGCGAATCGAACCTTTGGGGCCGATCCCAGGACCTCGGTGCATGGAGCAAGATCAACTCACCTCGGTCCGTGTCCGACTTCGAAACACACACCATCACACCCCTCCCATGGCCGCCCCGCCCGCGCGCACCGGGCCGACTGAGGCCATCCCCGCCGACTGAGGCCGCCGGCGGTGGACCCGTTTCGTCCTCAAGGCGAAGAGCTTCGCCTCGTCCTCCGGGCGCTTGGGGCCACGCGCCACGAACCTCAGAGTGTCTCCGTCCCTCCCGCGACGGTGAAAAGGTGGTGGAGACTAGGGCTGGTTAGTCGATTTTCCATATGGTTTACTGCATGTATCTTGTATATATATATATACTACACAATCACTATAGCTACCAGAAGTCATGTTATATGTGTAATAAGTGGTACCTACTGTGGTACCTAGTTTTTTCTTGTAGTTTTGCTAGTAGAAATAATTCCTTGATCAGCCGAAGGCATAGGCGGAAGAACCTCTGCACGGCTCAAAACAAAATGGCCACCTGGAGCTATCCACGAAGATTCAACGAAGAACTGCTCAACTGCTCTGAGGCTCTGAGTCCTCTTCTTTGTCTATATATATATGCTGGGAAGCACCCCACCTTCAGAAGGATCATTGAGCATTTTCCCTGCAAACAAAAACAAAACGAAAGTAAGGGTATGTAACAGTTGCTGATGGACCAAGTCACTGGTTCAGCATGTTTCTCGTTCGTTTCTTGGCCTGATGTCTCCGGTCACCGGTCGACAAGGCACGTGAGGAACTCGGACCAATCGATGACTCCACTCCTGAGCAAACGAAGGAAGCGGAGTAGGACTTGAGGTCCGTCTTCCCTAGTTTGAGAGACTGACCTGGGTGAGATCTGCTCCCCATCCAAAACATAGAATTGGATAGCCAACATGTTCTCCCATGGTCGCATCCTGCAATCAACCTATGATGCAACTGCAACCTCGCCGACAGCAAGCCATGTTCCCTCCTCTCATTCGGATCCCTTTTTAGTTTCATGTCTGCAAGGCCCTCATCCGTCATGCATCATGGGGCTCCAACCCCTCGCGAGAAGGCTCTCTCGCCAGTGGCCGAATAAGACAGGTAGGGCTTAGAAGTGGAATGGTCATCACCTGCTTAGATGCTTAGGGACTAACACTTCACAACTCAGCAATCTAGGGGTCGATGCCTTGGGAGTTTGAGGTAGATACCCTGCGACCCTGCGACCAAGACATGGGGCCAACGTGGATGGCAGGGACCCGATTTCGGACGACAATGAACGTCCAACACCTGAGCACCAACTGCGACACCGGTAGACTTCCATCGCGCTTGATGCCGCAGGACGACCTGGCTCTTGCCTAAAAAAGAGAAACTAAGAAGGTTTGTATGAATCAATTGGGGTAAAGTATCTTGTCAGCCCATGTCAGCCCCATGCCATTGACCCCCTTCCGCTCCATCAAGCATATAAGGGAACCCACCAGGGGGCACATCTCTGCTGCAGAACTGGCAAGAAATGTGCTTACGAACAGGATCCTCCTGGAAAGGTGCAACCCATGCTGGACGCCCCCAATCTCAAACCCAAGCAGGACGTGTTTCATATCTGATACACCCTGCAGAAAATTTCTCTACCCTCCCTCAAAAATGCTTGCACAATCTTGTACAGACGAGCAGACCCATTGTAGAAGACAATGGTCAAATGTAACTGAGGAGGTCTGAGGTCCCAAGGAGATCTGAGGAAGTCTGTTGATGAGGAAGTTTCTCCACTTTGATGAGGTCTGAGGAAGCTTATGCTGGGGGGTTGCTGTTGAGCATCTGGTCCAGGTCGATCTCTCCGTGGATGCTCTGAATCTCAAAGTCGGTGAGCCTCAGGGACCCGGATGCGACGAGATGTTTGCACAGCTCCATTCAAGGTGTCCAAGTGTTTAGCCTGGAATTGCTCAGAGAACCGGTAAAAACCTAACAAATACTCCCCAGAAGGGGACCCACAAATAGAGAAACGAAAAACCACCTGAAGGGAGCAATACGGTCGGAGACAAAAGGGAATTGGTCTTCCAGGGGTTTCCAGGGAGCTTGAACGTGCTACAGGGGCAGGCTTGCTGGCTCCAAAGGGCAATAGTAAACCAAACCCTCAAAGTGGCGCACGTCATCGGCTGGAACAGACTAGATATATATATATATATTATAATATATATATATATATATGTATCAAACGCGGCATAATTAGCAGCATGAACTCACCTCTGTTTTGGTTGGTGAGTGAATCTGGTTTGGCTATAAATATGTCAACACCTTCGACCCAAATAGTTATATAGTGCCACCATCTCCAAATGGGCTGTTCAGCCGTTTAACAGTTCCGAATGAAGGCAGGGAGAGCTCCGACTCCAAGGAAAGTGTGTTTGTGCTTCCTGTTCCCAGGGAGAGGGAGTTCAACGAATCGCCGCTCAGTGGCTCTTTCTACGTCACACACACTATATGGACTTTCTTCTTGCTGAAACAGGACGCCCTGGCCTTCCAAAACCCTGAAAAAATGGGGAGACCTGAGACCTGGTAGAGTCTTTAGTCAAACAACGGTTGTTCGATAAGAACCATGAATACTATTAGTTTGGAATCCGGGTCCTGTTGGAAACAGCACCGCCCCCCCAAAAAAAACAGCACCACAAAGGAACGCAAAATGCAATGCGAAAAAAAAACCGCGACCACCCGTGACAACCCGCACCAGCAAACCGACGACCGGTCACGCGGATTCGGGGATGTGCAGCTTCTCCCTGATCACCTGAGCCGAGCCGAACGAAGGGCCCTCGAGGGGTGGTGGGTCACCCCCGCCCCCGGTGAGCTTCTGTGGTATATGTTAATTGAGATGTGCTTCAGGGTGTGGCTCGTGGGCTTCTTGTGGCGGAGAGCCAAGACCGACTAGATATAAGACCCCACTTTCAAATGGAAATTGGGGTCCTTAATGGATCCACTTCCCATCTAGGGCACGATGTCCAAAACTTCCAGAACTCTCTATCCCTAGGGCTCCAACCATATCCTCAGAAGGTGGTTAAACCCCCCTGGCACCCACCCCAACCACCTTCTCAGGTGGTTGGAGCCCTAGGGTATTGCAAACCTTAAACTGTCTGGACCAGGAACTGATGGCTCAGCGACACCGGAGGTGGGCGGGGTATTATAGGATGCCAGTGCGAGCCGAGAGGTGTTGGCTGTGTAGGTGTCGACATGAGGCAAAAGTACATGTCGCACAGCTTCGAGCTTAATATCTGAATCCGGCACCCCTGAAAATGCTGGCAGCTTCAGCTAAGTCACAATCTTCAATTCTTTCAAATCAAGCATCCTCGACCTATCCTCAGATCGCTTCTGGACGAGGTTGTGAAATGCCAAACTTGGAGGTGGTGAAATGATATGAAATGTCTATCCGCTCGAAAAGGCCACCTGCAAAATGTTGTTGCTTGATGCCATGCGCTTTCATCACCTGATCTTACTCCACTACATGACTGTACCATCCATCGCTCCTTGTCCGCAGCCTGAAACAGCTCATCCCAACTCTCCTGCCGCTGGAGGATGGGTCCGCTCGTCAATCCCTTCGACCCTTCGACCCTTCGATCTGCCGGGCCCGGCGTCAGGGTCCGAAGAACAAGTGTACCACGCAGGTCCGGGCAGGTCCCCTTTTTCAAGCGAGCGGACCCGAGTTCGGAAGAATCGAAGCGAAGAAACAGGTTGGCAAAACACATGAACCCAAGTAATTCAGTGGGAGAATTAGTTGGGAGAATTGGCGTGCTTTGGACACATCCTTCATCAACGCTGCACGGTCCCACAGTCCTTCTGCCTGGACTTCGCCTAGAGACGTCGACCGAAGACCGGAAGAAGTGGGCCTACTGGTTCTATACCGTAGGTCGGTCCCCAAATAGTAGCCGTCATGTCTACATGTTGTACGTGCAAAATCTATATACCAACTTCTATCGATTTCGTGGGTCTAGATATATATATGTGCAATCTATACTGTAGGTCATATACTACTTTGGTCTATGCTACTGAAGGACCAGGGCAACCTGGTGGTTTCTTCCGGCTGAGCGTCGTACTGATGATCCTATGCCAGTGGGCAAAGCTCGACCAGCCAAGTCGTTGGCACCAGTTGGCAACCATTAGTAGGGCCCTCGGCGACTCATTCCTGAGCATCCTCTGAAATTTGTTCATGATATTTCACGCTTTAAAACTACTAGTAGTGGCCGTGTATAGTGTATGTGGGATCGAGCACGGCAATGTTGGGGGTGCTGTTAGTGACAGGTTGGCACGCGTCTTTCCACCCCAAAGAAGGAAGCGCTTACAGAGCTTGGCTACTTTCTTCACTCACAGGCGATGGTTTCATGCGGAGAAAAACCATCGTCCTCACCTTTCTCCAGCGTTGCGCTCAACAGCGATCCATCGGACCGCCTGCCGATCCATCGGACCGCTGCCGAGCGACCCCAACGAGGATCCTTCTGGCCCGGCAGGCGGTGTGGCTGGCGGCTTCCATCGCCATGGCGCGTTTTTTTGGCGCAAAAGACGGCGAAGGGACTCTGGAAGATTCTTTTGGATTGATGGAGTCTCCTACAGTTCATGCTCTCTCTCTCTCTCTTGATGGGTAAAACGACAATACTGTAATTAATAGGGTCCCCTTTTCTATGTATCCTTCGCATTGCTTTCACATCTGTCCGTTCAATTTCGCGGTCCGGACTGTGCGGTCAGTCTCAGGTCGTCTCATGCCTCAAGCTCATCTGATACAACGGATCAATGGGAAGCTCTCCACTATGTTGATGGAAACATCTGGAGACCTAGGAATGCACAAGACGTAAAAACCTATAGGTATGAGGTACGACTGGGTATGCGCGAAAAGTTTGTACCTGGGTTGCCAGTATACACCTCTGGCACTGCAATGTCTTTCTAAGTTGTCCTCAGTGGCAACATCAACGCCCACGATCTACTGACTGAGCCAAGTGTTGCGGTGGCACCTGTCTGCTCTAACCAGAAGATAGAACAAAGGCCTTGTTGAAAAATAGTGATACTTGTTTCTCCGATTATTACAGGTCATGGGACAGGCCCTATATATGCTAGAAGGCAACATCGCCGTCTTTGAGACCGGTTGCCTTCGAGACCAGAGGTTCACTGTTCTATCTACTCGGTGGTTAGTGAATGATTCTTGGTGAAAAGCAGATGGCGCAACGATGTTAAACACCTATAGTAATGTAAGCTCTTGATTAATAATACCCCCATTCGGATTGTAAAAACTGTAAGGCCTCTTCATATATGGCGGGCTTTAATCATCAAAATTCTACATTAGGTACTCGGAAGCTTGAGTGACCTCACCGATCGCCGATAATTCAACTGCTCAGCGGGTGGGAACCCTGGATCAAGCTGGGTGCTGGAAACGAAAAGTGAACGATGAAGCATCATAGGATCTCGCATTGGCCCCGCCTGGCGGTACAAACCCTTCGAGAAAGTGCTTGGATCCCGACAAAGGCACAGGGTAACCCTGTCGACAGTGGCCATGCCTCTGCCCACCCGTTTCAGCCCCTTTTCGCCCAACGCTCTAGTCAAAACCTGGAGCCCAACCATTCCCCCATATAGCTCCCAGGTAGGTCAATCAAGGTTGGGTATATCCCATATGTCCAGTCACATTCAAAAATCGTGATCATCTTCTACCGACTGTTACTGCTTGGTTTGGGCCACGCCCTAAACCAAGGTATCCCAGTACCACATCTCCCCATGCCAGTCGGGTTTCGCGGGTTGGTCCGTCTGTTGACCTCTGTGGGTCAATGGCACCCGGGTTGCAAACATCACCCTGGCAACCTACCCACCGGATGGGAGAGGTCGGATGACAGTGGTCTGTCTATTTTGTTCATGTTCCGTGGGGGGAAACCACATGTTGCGGGTTTTGACCCACATGTAGCAGGCTCACAGGCTCCAAGGTAGCCGCTGACCCCCCTATTATAAGGCTGACGTAGGCTTAGGCTCTTGATTGATACAAGCCCCCGGCTTTACAATCACACAGCCGGGGCTTTATGAATCAAGAGCCTGCATTAAGTGCAACTGTGAATCCACTTACTGAACTGTTAGGACCGCGACCCTCGACCTTCGCATCTCTTTGACGATGACGCGACGCGTCTCTCGGCGTCTCGCTCCAGCGCGTCGTCCACGGAGGATGGTGAGATGGACCGCGAAGGGTTCAGTAAGTCCCTACTTCATCATCGTCATCCTCGTACTCGTAGTCGTCCTCATCGTCCTTTGACTTCTCCTTCTTCTCATCCTTCTTTTCCTGGCAGATGAGACACTGACGAAAGGGCTGGTCTGCGGGGTCATGTGCACGCACATCACCACTCTAACACCAGGCCATGGGCATTCATAGGTCAAGCAGAACCCAAACAATCCCATCGACAATTACCCTCCTGTTTCCTGCCTCTCATTTTGATGATGAAACGTGCATAAATACGTGCAACTTGTGAATTACTAGCAACAGGTTGGGGAACTCCCTGTAGCTCCTTGGCCCCCTGTTTAATGCGGAATATGGATACCCCGGCTCCTGGGCTCCCTCTCAAGGAACAGCTAGCTTAGGGCTTCAACCCCCGGACCTCCGTTTCGAATATCTTCGGGATGAGCTTGGAGCATACGTTGAGCGAAAACAAGCCCCAAGGGGTCACAGAAATCACCATAATTACCGTTATGGCAACTCCTGGACACTCTTAAAGTCTGCGTGGCCTGAGAAGAAAGGGCAAGATCCCCAAAGAGTCAGGTGCCTGAGTCGTGGATCCCCAAATCATCCAACATCAAAAAAAACGATTCCTCCCTGAGGGCGCCGTTGTGTCATCACTCTGAACCCCCCAGAAGTCGATGTGCTTCTCACCGCCTGGCTGGTAGAAGACGACGCGGCCTTCCGTAGCGCAGAAGCCTTGAGAGTCCAGCGGTCCATCGAGGTCTATCGGAGAAAGAGTTCAGAAATCAGCTGAAGATCACACATGGCCCTATAGAAACACCTCCTCAATCCGAAGCCACATTGCTAAGGTCGTGCGGGAACCTCACACTCCCTAAGGAAGACGGGCAGCCCAGTGGAGCCATCCGGTGCGGATTCTGATCTTCAGGTCACTGGCAAACCCAAAAACTCCCGGCAAAAGCCACTTGGACACACCTCTCTCTCTCTCTTGCATGGACTTGGGGCTGCCATCTCATAAGTACGTGGCCTTCCTTAGCCATCCCGTGCCATCCCAGATCTTCATGATGTTCATTGTTTGTTCGAAACTTCTGAGCTTGGAATCCTCTACCTGGGTCCTGCATGGGCCTTGGGGTTCAGATCATTCTCTTCAGCGAATTCACAATGAAATACCAACTGGAGAGCAGGCCCTGAAATACCAAGCTCTCACGGCGCAGGTTCCATAGTGAGGTTCCATGCGCTCCAGTGGTTCTTCGTGGCCAGGGAGGAATACCATGAACATATCTGAACAGGTTACGAAAAGGCCTGGAATCTGAATCGTATATAGAACACATGCGAATGAATCTTCCACCTTCGCAGATTCCAAGTTGAACCAAAAAGCACATACCACCAAACACAATCGACATGTATTCCGCCACCATCCAGAACCAAACTTTATTGCCTTTCCACCTGGGCCCAACCTATTGGGAACTGTATAGACTGTCATATATGTCCAACCTATTATTTGAAGCTTTCCTCGCTGGAAGCTTGGGCTCAATGATGTTCATCCGGGACAAAAATAGGTATCCCAGTATCCCAACCACATATCTTTGGTTGAAATCCCAGTATCTTTGGGAAAACATAGGTATCCCAACCATATATATCCGAGAAAAATAGGTATCATAATTAATATATATGGTTGGGCTCGGCTCGTGCACCCCGAGGCCAGTCAAGCCATCCTCGCCTCGCCTTATCTTCCACGCTCAGCAAAGCGCCAGTCACCAGGCGAGCAGCTGCGCAAGCGTCCTGCGGCACAAAATCACGGCCGGTGAAGCCTGAACTTTGGGGGGGTACAGTGGCTTGAAGCCAACATGTCCTTTATACATGGGGGTCCATATAAATCACCTTCTGGAGATTGTGACATCTACTCCGAAACCGAAGTCTCCATTTTGAAGATTTCGTGGTGAGTCTACCGATGCGGAGGCACATGACGTCAGATACGAGACACATGTTCACGCAGAACTCCAATTGACCTGAAAAAACAAAGGTAGTTGGAGGTAAACGAGGCAAACGACAATGCTTGGTCTGCCGGGATGACTTCTGACATGTTCTTCTGACAAGAAGGCGGAGCTAAGAGTGGAGTTCGTAGAAAACTTGTGGGTTGTCCTAAGACGTATCCTTTTTCATCCTTTTTCACCTCTCAGGCAGGTCGGAAAATCAACACTTCCTTCTAGGCCCCATATGCCCTCATTTCCAAGGACCTCTTGGAGACCTGCCCCTTTCAAAAAAGAAACTTGCTATTTAAGAACTGGCCCCCAAAGCATGGACCCCACTTTTCATGGCTCTTTCCAACGGCCAGCGGCCAACCAAAACAGACACCACGACCGATTCCAAACACGGTCCACCGACCGTCGAAACGCGCATCGTCCGCTGCGACGATGAGGGTTCCAGCGACGCAGGGTCCTCGGGAGGATCCAAGTCGGCGAGGCCCAGATCCTCCAAGAAATCGGCCTCGACTCGCTCCGGTCCGCGGCGGGTCCACGCGTTGTTGGCTGAAACGGGTCCGTTTCGGTCCTCGGTCCGGTCGGGTGGCTGATGGTGGCTGATATGACGTCAGTTGCGGTGGCAGGTGGTGAAGTGGAAAGCGCCGTCTGGTGCTGAGAATATAACAATGTTTAAAAGGCCAAGGGAGATAGGCTGTCTTGGTCTTGACATCTTGGTGTCTGTCTTGTTCATGGAGAAAAGTGAGGTTTCTTGGGGGCGCAGCCCAGCCAGGCAGTGAGGTCTGGTGAGTCAGTACGGATCCTTAAATTCAAGCGTCAAGAAATGTCAGGAAATCTTTGACAGTTCTGGGAGGAACGAACGCCCCAGTCATCCCCAGTCGACTGGGTTCGACTAATAGTGACTGAAGAACTCACCAGCGGTCACCAGCTACAGTCCAAACACTGGGGCCCGCTTTTTGGGCAACCATGGAAAGGGACCCCCTTCGAAACAAAATCCTCTAAAACATCCTCCTGTACCTCATTGAATAGTGCTCTAAGTATATGATCAACTCCGGTACAGGTCCGTTCCTGACCTGTAAGGAGATGTTCTTCTCCTGAGATGGTTCTTCTCAGTGCCGGAATGACCACCTATTGACAACCCAAGACCTCACTGGAGAACACCCGCCTCCTCATCCTCCTGGACTCCTCCGATCAGCCGACCAAACCCAAGCGACGGCCACGAAGCTGAGCTCTGACAAGAGCTCGTCGCGGTCCTTCACTTGCCGATGCAAGTCTTTCACCTGCGATGTCGTCGCCCAAGGGAGTGGTTACAGGCGCCCAATGCCCCCCTTGGGGGTGTTTGATCAATCAAGCGCCGACATTCGGCGTGTCAACAGGATGTCTGGCAGCCCGCTGTGGA